TCAATATAGATTACTCACCACTGTATCGCTAACAGACTTGAGCACACCTTGGCACACAACAGCCTTTTAATAAATATTATTTATCTAGTGAATTCTTAACTTCAATAGAACACAAAAACTTTTTACCTCAGCACTGTTCAGTTAGAAAGCAGTCCGACCAGGCTGTTGATGCTTTCTTTTTCCCCAGAGAACACGAATATTGTAGAAGATACACGAACATTTTTCCTTCCACAGCTTCTGGGTGTTCTGTGTATTTCCCTTCTCCTCTCTGAGATGCTGAGATGCTGAGAGGAGGAGGCTGAGCACCCGGGGAAGGTGACGCCGAGGGGAAAGGGTGTGCCTGGGAAGTGCTAGACTTGGCCAGCAGACTCAGGAAGTAGCTCTGACAACTCTGAGAAGTAGCAGCTTGTGCAAAGGCCCGGCTGAAGGGGTAATGGCCAGGAATTAGGGAGGCTATCAATAAGAAGCTATTGGAGGAAGTCTGGGACAGGGAAAGAAATGGGTGAAACAGAAAACTCGAGAGAACTTGAGGCTACACAAGAACGCTCAGAGTCCTTGGCATGGAATATGCTCACTCAGATCCTCTTTGCAGTTACGATATGCAGGCCCATTCACAGTGCCATAACAAGCAAGGACTGAAAAATGAGACATTTCTCTCATTTATCTAACAGTAAAATCTCCGCTCCTTTCCTGACCCCTTTATCTACTTCAGTTTTTTTTTTTTATGATAGTTCTAGAAAATTTGGTATCACAGATGGCAAATCTAAAAGGTACAAATTGACAGACACATAGGGAAATTCCCAAATCGCTCTTATTAGAGTGTGTCTGTGTAATTCTCTTACTCTGGAGACCAGAAATTCAGCTCCCATTTTTCAAAGCTTAGGAAGACAGCATAATGCTGTCTAAATAGGCACAGAGGTGTTTATTTTAGTCTTTCCATTTCTTCCCAGGAATAATATAACTCCTGCACACTCAGAGCAGTTATTCTGAGAAGGGGGTCATAAACACACAAAATTCAAGACATCTTTATTCTTGCTATCCTCAAAAGCAATATAGGATGATCCTCCTTAAGAAAGCTTTTGAGAACTTCCCCTTTCTCCCACAGAGACATTCAATGGACTTCACTTCTACCGGCATATTATTTCTTCATTCCAAATTGTGCATCATCACAAGTACAGAAAAGGAAAATGGCGCTATTCAGTACAGGGGGAGTTTCTATGTAGATTCAGCACTTCAAGCCTGGCTCCCACTTTGGGAATAAATGTATACATAAATGGTCATAAAATGATGTGATTATAAGAGACAAAACCACCACCATTCACAGAATGCCAGGGCAGGCTGCTCACAAACAACCGATAAAGCAAACCACTCAAATGGAAAAGGAGAGGAAATATACACAGTGCAGATTTATTTTTTCAAGTATCAGAAAATCCCCAAACTCTATTGATAGTTCTATAAAGCTTTTATTTTTAATAAATTGTTTCCTTTCCCACATTTACTTACACACATCACAGACATTTAGCATCTACTTCTAAGGAAAAGAAAGTAGGCTAGTCTCTCCAGGCCACCCCCTACCCTATCAAACTACTACCAGATTCAAGCAATTCTCATCATACCCCTGTTTACGTTCCTTTTCCTAACGGCTTAGGCCCACACATGAGAAGCCCTGGCATACACCGACTCTATCCTTAAACATTCACTCAACAAATATTTACCGAGTGCCCACTATGGGCCAAGCAGCATTTTAGGTGTTGTGGATTCACTAGGGAATAATAATAATAATAATAATGATCCTTGCTTTCATGGGCCTAACAGTCTAGTTGAGGAGATGGATGATTACCGAATAAATATATTATATGTAAGGTGCTAAAAAACAATAAAGTAGGCTAGAGGATGGAGAGGGATGGGGTGGGTGCTATTTTATATAGGTCAGGGAAGGCTGCTTTGAAAAGGTAACTTGAGAAGTCCTACTTAAGGAAGCAGAGAAACTTGGGAAAGAATTACAGATCATTGCCTCTTTGCTTATATTCTAAGCAATTTTTGAGTATGGAGGTAGGCATTTTTTAAAAAGTTAATTTCAAAAGTGACTCATGTTTAATTTTCAAAAGGGCCAATGAGTGTGGGATCTTAAATTTAAATGACTAAAACTACATTTTTAGAAAGCACTCAAATGAACACCTTTGAATTGTCATACGGTGCCCAGAAGGGTCCTGTGGAAGGGTATCATGATGTTGACAGATATAATAATTCTTTTGTTTTACCATAAGACTGTGCTCAACATTTTAAAAGCAGTTGTAAATTGAGGTTGAGCCAAATCACTGACTTTCAGAAGCCAAATAGGGTAAAATGAAGGTCCAATCTGCCTCATCTAAGGCTGATACTTTACGGAATGTTGGACACTTAACAGCCAGAAGAGCCACTAGAGGTCATTTAACTCAACTTTCTCATGTTAGTCATCATAAAACGGGCCCCCAGGGCTTTAGCGGGCCAAGGTCATACAGTCCACTGCAGCATCATGCAGGTCTCCTGCCTCTTAGGCCAGTTTTCATCGCCACTCCTTTCTTGTACATGATGCTACATCTTAGATCCAGTTTGAGACACTTTCAGGAGCAAAGTGCATCTGCTAGAAAGATGGTGGCAGATTGGAGAGGAGGTTAGTGGGGACAAGAAGGGGAGTACTGCAGAGTTAATGAGTTTGGGGTGCAGTCTGTGAGGACCGCTGAGAATGGGAACCACTAATTCCAATGGTTGCTGTGATTACCACTCAAATGCTCATACACCACCATCATGCCCCATCTATGTGCAAGCACACCTTCTTGGAAAATCTCCTGCCTTCCCTTTTATAATGGCACAGGCCTTGGGGGCACCCAGGACACCAAAGTAAGAGGAAAATGTGAACTTAGTGCTATAAAAATGCCCCAAGATTATAAAAGGTTACCAACTACTAATTTCAAACTTATTAAGAAAACTGGAAACCCCTTTCCCCTCCCAAGCAAATGCAATTTGGAAGAGAAAGTCCTTAGCGCTAAAGGAGGTCACTAGAATTTAGTATTTTCTTCCTCTCTCTCAACCCACTCCATTTACAGAGGATTTTAAAATTACTTTAAGTTGGCCATGTGGCATCTTAAAGTTTACACTTCAGAACTTCTTTGAAAACCTCACTCAATGTTTGAGGTTTGGCAGGGTATCCTGTGAGCACTTCAAAGCAATGGTTTAAAAGAAAACACCACCAGATTTGAAATAAAAGCCATCTAGATTATAGTAACTCCACCGTTCATTTAAACGTAATATGAAACCTAAAGCATTTTTCCATAAGATACTTGTTCCCTAGGATCACCAGAAGTGCATTCTAACAGCCACCTGATTGGGAAAATAATTCCTAGTAAAACACATTGCCACTGGAGCACCCAAATCTAACAGGGCCTAAAGTTGTTCCTTAATAGTGATAGAAACTTTTATAATGAGATGCTTTTTAGTAAGTAGTAAAGTGCCTTACATGATGCTCTGCCCCTTACCAGGACCCCAAGCCAAGATGTTGACTGAGCAATAAACAGGTGCCACGGAGCAATATATAGACTTAGAAAGTAACACTTCATGAGAGTTAGTGACTTGCCCAGGGTTGTGAATTTACTTGACCTTGACCATAGGACCAGGAATAGAATTCAGGTCGATTGATTCCAGGAGTTGTGTACTTTCCACTAGAACCAATGTGATCACATGTACAAAAGGGAAACATTAAAATACCAGTGTCTCCCATCATCCATTTACTAGGAGGCACTGGGAGATTTTGAATTTAATAAGCTTATTTTAATATGACTATTTAACCCTGAGGAGATATGAATAACCATGCATATTTTAATACAAATTTCTACAAAACATGAAATAAAATTCAGGGGGAATTTTTCTTTTCAGTGTTAATGCTTTCTCTTCCTGATATATGCCCTCATATTAGCTGCATCTTGCTTTTTCAAAATCTTTTACGCAACTGGAAAAAAGTAGGTAATAAATGCCTGGAAAAGTTTCCTGACTAAATTATTAAGAAGCTGAAAACGTAATATATATATTGTTTTATATATATATATATATACACACACACAAACATATATAATATATATACACACACAAATATATATTTTAAGTATGCATGTATGTACACACAAAAAAATACCTAGTCTAAGCTGGTTCTTCATTTTCTAAAATTTGAAGATAATGCATTTATAGGCCTGGGTTTCCTGTAGCTGTATCTTTCCTAGTCGAAACTCTTGTGAACTTTTTTTGTGACACAGTCTAGTAATGAGGTAAAATCTCCAGATAGCAGCACAGCTGGTCAAACCTCTAAGTTTCGCGGCAGATCAGCTCCTGGAAGCCGGTAGCGTGCTGTCTCTTCAATTACTTGATACTAAACTCCTCGTGAAAGGCGACCAGGAGCCCACACACAGGAACTACTTTACTAATCTCAAAATCCCAACCCCATAACCTGATAAAAAACCAGTAAATCAGCCAATTTTCAATAGGAGAAGCACCCAAAACAACTGTACTTGCATACCTCAGACTTTTGAAAGCCGGAAAAAAAACTCATTCCAATCAAAAACTTCACATACATAAAAATAATTGCTGGGTGGAAATCCTGGATGCTAATCTTCAGCCTGGACAATTTTACCCCCAGCCACCGACCACTGCGATAGCCCAGTTTAAAGAGGCTGCTATAAACTTGATACCATTTGACTGTACCAGGAGAAAGGGCGTTCCCACAATGAAAGAATCATTGTATTCCACTCTTTTATTCCAGAAGCAGATAATGAGCAGTGCCCCACAGAAGCCGAGAGAAAGGCAAGTTCAAGGCAAATAAAAACAGAATCTCTCCCCTAAAAAAAGAAATTAATTGGATGATCACCTAGAGCTAATGCTAATACCCCTTCATCACCCTGGCTCAGTGACATCCAATGATTCACAAATCCTTGCAAGGCAAGCCACTGCAGATGCTGCTCTTGTTAACTTACAACATTCACTGTGCACTGTTCACAGGTAGCCCCAGCCTATCCTTCACCATGGAGACTTCCCACAAGTAGCTGGAGCGCTCCTGGGCTCAGGCGTGTTCTTTCTTCCTTTCACAGAGAGGTGAGAAATCCCTAGCATGGGAAGAGAAGAGAAGAAAAAGAAAAAGGTAAATGCATCGTCAAATCACTCATTAGCTCAACAAATGAAGCCTCACGATCAATTAGACTGATAATTCACCAAAAACCATTTTCCAGTACCCTATTCTCAAAAAAAAAAAAAAAGGCAACATTTTTGCTCTTGCCCCAGGAGACACAGCATGGCACGGCCACCCTTTTCCCCTGCCTCCCATTCCACCCCATCAAGTTGAAGCCAGTTCTGGGAGACGCAATCCCAGCTGAGATGCAAATTTGCAACACAGCCCCAAAATAAGCCACTTGAGTTTACTCTCTGCAAAAAGGAGGGAGCTAGGACTCTCATCTTTTGCCATTTTCATACCTCACTGGGTTGTTGGGAAGACCAGTAAGATCACTCTTGCAAAGCACTCACAGTTCCCGAGAAGAAAGACACTATGTAAAACGCAAAGTATTATTAGTGGTCATAAGCCTGTTACTGAGCTCTGGGCCAGAATATAAAGGCCAGCTTTGGCTAGGCACCAACAATCAACCCTCCCTGGGGCACCCAAACGTGCACATGTCTGCACGGGCCGCTGTGCTAAAACTCCCCTTCCACCGAGGGGTTGCGGGAAGCAGAGAACCGGAAATGGAGGTGTCTGGAATCTCAGGGAGACAGAAAGTGAGGACCTGGAGCAGGAATCAAAGAGAAAGGGGGAGGGAAAGGCGGGTGAGAGAGCCCTGTGCAAGCACATCGCTAGTTGGTCCACACCACATGGCTTCCTCAGATTGCCGGTTTGCAGTATATAGTGCACTGGATGTTTGCGGGGCTGTGAAATTTTCCACTTGGCTGTCTGCCATTTCCACCCACCAAGGCTAACACTTAACACACACAAAAGTGGCACACCGAGGCCCTGCTGGAGAAGGAGTGGATCATTTTTGTTTGTCTGTTGCTTTTAAAGAAAAGATCTATTCATATCCTGATCGTTAATATTTTCCACACCTGAATTTCTTGATTTTTTTCCCCTCCTTTAAGAGAGAGCCAGGAACAGCTTTTCCTGGGTCTATATTATCAAGTGATTTTAACTTGTGTCTTCTTGAGGAGCATGCCTGAGGTACAGGAACTTACATGAGTGGCTTTGGGGATGATGAGAAACACAGAATTTAAGTGCTATGCTAGAATCCTGTTTGCTTTCCAAGTAAATTATCCACAAGGCCAGTCATGTTTTCCTTTCCGAGTCATAAGCACTCAGTGAACAAAGGTGGAGTCACAGTATTCACACTGTGGGTGTAATAATATTTTTGAGGGAAAAAAGTGGTCCTTTATCTCAAAAAAGGCAAGAATTAATAATATCAAATCTCAGATTTGGAATTGGTAAAACACTGACAAGTACACCTCAAAATAAAGAACTAAAAAAGCGCAGAGAAAAAATTAGGACAGAAGGGAGAAAGGAAGTGTCTGCTACTAATATAATTAACTGTGGCTTTTATAGTAAATACAGGTTACAAAAAGTACTTTCTTATTAATTAATTCATTCACTCGAAGAATTTTTACTTGGTGCGTACTATATCCACCAGGTTCTCTGTTTATAATAGTGAACAAAACTGACAAGGACTAGGCCTTTAAGGATCTCATTGACTCAAGAGCCACAGACATTAAAGAATTGGAGAATATGACTTTTAGTATACGTATAAAATTTGAAAATTGGATAGGCATTATGAAGGAAAAAGACACATTATTATTTGCAATCACAATGGGGGTACCTCCCTTAGAAGGAGGGCCTTAGGAAGGCTTTTCTTACAAAAGTAACCTTTTAGCAGGGAAGTAAATTTGAGCAGAAGTTAGCCAGCCATGGAATTTCCAGGTAGAGGAAACAGCCTGTGCATTTTGTGATCTGATCTAGAGATGTACAACTAATTTCTGTTATTTCATTTCTTCTTTTTCCTGGCCATTGCAGCCGGGTCTCCTTGATCAAGAAATGAGCAATAGACTTTATGTTATTGTGGTGATCATTTCATAATACATACAGATATCAAATCATTATGTTGTATACCTGAAACTAATATAATGTTATATGTCAATTATATCTCAGTTAGAAAAAAGAAATGAGCAATAGAACAGTTCATAATACCTTGAAATAGAGATGATTCTATTTTCTGACTGCTGGGCCATCAGAGCAACAAACACTAGTAATTTCTGCGAGAGGAACACCATTCAGCACAGGTATTACACTTGATGTGACAGGAAAGGAAGACTCTGGCTTCCTAATGCATCTCCAGTCACCCCGTCATCACAGTGAAATAAAAAGAAGCTCTCTGTTAACACCTGCATGCCACAGCTGGAGTTAAAAAAAATCCTCCCCCAAAAGGGATAAAAACAGATCACATCGTATGTAAACTTCAGAAAAAAATCTTCTTAGTACCTTGTATAAGGTTCCAAATTTGCTGGCTTGCTCTTGACTATTAGGATATTTTTATTATTTCTCTCTTGGACTTAAATGGCATTTCTGCCCACCTTCAAGAGTGTCCTGCGAGCCTTCTCTCCCGGTTCTTTGTTTGGTTATCTGTTTACTTACCCAGGTGAGCAGCATGATGCAAAGAAATAAAAAGCAATGGAAATATTGTGTTCATCTCAAGTGTTTTCTTGTTCCCCGTCATCCCAGATCTGGTACAACTTAATCCTTCCACTAAGGAAAATCAGTAATTTGCTCTTTTCATCCTACAAAAGGAAGGCACCCTCAGACAGGCTCATTCATGTTCTCCCCATGAATGCGGTTAAGTTTGAAAGTCTGTTTGAAACAAATAAGCCAAACTTCTATTTGAGTCTCTTTCCATTTAAGACACCAGGATAAAATGTATTTCTCCTACAAGTTTCTCATATAACCTAAAATATTAATAATACTCCAAGTTCAAAGTCTTGAAATACAAACCCTCACTTTGACTTAGTAGTTTTGACAAACTTTAACAAACTCAGAAAGAAAAGAGAGAGCGAAAAAAAAAAAGACTTCTTGCAGCCAAGTTGTCCAACACCCTGCCATCAGACCTGGGAAATTATGCCAGGCTGACAATTTCATCCTCTGTCCAGAGAAGAAAATGACACGATGCCAATTTCTCTTTCCCCTGAGTGCCCACAGCACTTACAGTCTCTACCACACATTTTGACCCAAGGTCCTTTTCAATTCAGCACTCTGTTACATGGTCTTTTTATACTCCACTGGATTTATTTAAGTCTTGAAGGCTTAAAAAGTTTATAAGCTCCTTGATGAAAGAAACCTTGCCATGCCCTTCTTTTGCAACCTCCTAATAGTGTTCTGGTAGAAGAGCTTGAATTTAAATTAAATGATCCATATCCAAAACCAGTGCTATGACTTAACCCTTATCCCAAAGGAATCACTACTCCCTAGCTATAATTTAAGCCCGCCTCGCTTTTCGCTGTCCTCCGGGGACCTGCAGCTCCTATAACGCCTATTGTCCAAACGAAAGCCCTGCACAAACTTGAGAACAATTAAGTTACAACTTAGCCTTCTCTCTTCTGTTCTCCCAATCCACTATATTTTTAGTCATTTGTGGCTTCTGAACAGTTGCCAACTCCTTTCAAGATTTACAACATCCCTCCTCCCCGGCTCCACCAGGAGCCTATATCCTTGATTCTCACAGCTTTTCAAAAGCCACTATTAAGCAAACCCTTGTGGTATGTGGAGGAGAGATGTGGATGCTCTCAGGCAGTGGGTCTCAAACTTGAACCAGCATCAGAAAAACCTGGAGGTCTTGTTAAACCACAGATGGCTGGGTCCCACCCCTGGAATTTCTGATTCAGTAGGTCTGGGTGGAGCTGGAGAACTTGTATTTTCAACAAGTTCCCAAGTGATGCTGCCGCTGCTGGTCCACGGACCACACTTGGAGAACCACTGCTCTAAGGGTAAGCCTTTCTGTCAATCACACAGCCAGACAGAGGCTAAGGATCTTTTGAGTATATTTAATCACTATGAGATGGCTACATTTGAAAGAACGATACCTGTCTGTTCCAAAGAGGTGACAAATGACCAAAAAAACCCACACACTTTATATCTGGGAAACCCTTTTTTGGCTCTTAGTCTGTTCTCCTCCTACTGGCTCCAGGTCCCGTTAGGGTCAATTCTGCCTTCTCTCTCTCCTTCAATCTTTTTCCTCTCTTCTAAAAACTTCTCAGCCTACAAACACACTCAGTCACTACTATCCCTAAAAGACCTTCTCCGTACCCTGACACATTCCCAAACGGCTGTCACCTCTCTCCCATTCACCAACAAACGCATTAAAGTGTAGTACAAATTCAATGCCCGTATTTTCACCAGGTACAACTTAAACCCTTACAGTTTGATTTCCACGCTTTTTTTTTTAGTAAACTTCCCTCTCTTTCAAAGGTCATGAATGGCTTCCTGCCTTCTAAATGCAGTGGCCTTTTCCTAACTGACTTATAATATTTGATACAGTTCACCAATGGTTCCTTCCATTTTCTTTTATTTTTATTTAGTGGACTAGCATTTCTGCAAAAACAGCATATTTCTGGAATGACTTGTCCCCCATTTTCTTTGTTTTTTGGGGAGGATGACCTTATGCCTTGGGTCCAAAGATGGGCATATGACCTAGGTCTGGAGTTCAGAATACATATCCCTCTTGCCATGATGACTGGCTTTAGGAATACACTTTTAAGCAAAGTCACGCAATCAAAGCCGTCTCTCAGACTGGCTGGAACTAAGAGGAATGAGGTGCCCTCTCGTAGTGAGACATGAGAGTATGGTCTACTAAGAGCTGTTTTGTCACTACCTTGTGAAGAAAGCCCACTTGAGAAAGAAGCTCTGCAGTAGGGAGCAAAGCTGAAAGATAAAGTCTGAGTCATGACGATAGTGAGTTCCCTTGGATCCAGCCACGCCAAAAGTTAGATTTATCCCTGGATTTTTTTAGTCATGCTGTAATAGACAAAATTCTAAGGTAGCCCCCAAGATTGCCCTGTCCCCTAGTACACATACACACCTTCTGCTAGCTATTCAATCAAACACTAATCTGGGTACTCCCGCTGTGAAGGGATTTTGCAGATAAAAAATTAAGTCCCAAATCATCCAACCTTAAAATAGAAAGCTTATCCTTGGTGGGCCTGGCCTAATCAGATGAGCCCTTCAAAGGGACAGGCTCTTCCAGGAATGAGATTCAAAGCATAAGAGGATATACTTGGGGGAGGAGGGCACCACATGGCAAGCCACTGGAGATGGACACCAGGAGCTGAGAGTGGCACCCAGCCCACAGCCAGCAACAGAACAGGGGCCTCAGTCCTACAAACACGAGGAAATAAATTCCGCCAATAACCATGTGAGTTTGAAAGAAGACTGCAAGCCCCAGATGAAAATGCAATCCAGCTAACACCTTGATTTCAGCCTTATGAAACCGTGAGTGGAGAATCCAGGTAAGTGGTGGCTAGATTTCTTACCTGTAGAACCTGGGATAACGTGAGTGTGGTTCTAAGCCACTCAGTTTATTAGCAATAGAAAATTAATACATATGTGATACAATAAGTTCCATTTCTTGGCTTAAATCACTTTGAATTTTATTTGTCTGTTGCACCAAAAATATCCTAATACTCCTGGTTTCCCTGAGATGGTACTATTCTGGTGTTCCTTACGTCACTCTGACTGCTACTCCTCTTTCTCACCTTTTGTTTCTTCCTGTTATTTCTTCTAACCCTAGGGGATGTATTCCCCAAGGTTACATGCTCAGCTCTCTTCTCCTTCTATAATAATTTCCTTCTATTGCCTATAGTTCTTCAATCTGTATCCTGGGCCCTAGCATCTCCCCCAACAAATTGCTGGATATACACAGTATAAATAAATTATGTCTATTTCAAAACTTCCCATCTTGTTTTCCCCAAACCAGTCCTCCTCTTCTACTTCTGATTCATGCTGATGGCATCAGTCTTCTCCTCTTTCTCCCACAGTCCATCAGTTGCCAAGTCCTACCAAGCCTGTACTCTATTCCCATGCCGCCATGCTAGTTTAGATTCTATTCCTCTCACAGCAGCCTGCTAATTGGTCTTCTCGCCTTCAATATTCCCCCTCCAAACCATTTGAGTCACCCCTGTTGGATCAAACTTCCTAGAGTAGATTATGTAATACAACTTTTCCATGCCATACCTTCATTGGTTCCTATGGCTTGCTGAAAATCTTCTACTATCTGATGTTTAGGACCTTCACAATCTGACCCCAACATGCTTTTCCAACTTCACTTCCTACTTCTCCCCTTATGCACGTTGTACCAGCCAAACTGGGCTTCTCGCTTCATCTCTGAGAGCCAACATTTCTACTTTATATGTCAAAATTCAAGCTACACCTACCAAGATCTGCTCAAATCCTACTTCTCCCGTCACTCTTTCCTTCATCCTCCCATGCTACAACTTTCTCAATCAGAAGAACTTTTCTTTTTGGGGGATATGAACTCTACATTTTTTATTCCTTTTCCTTAGAATACTAATCATTTTATTCCTTATCCTGAAATAGGCACCATTTCCCCAGGCAATTACTCCGTGAAGAGTTAGTAAACTCTAGAGTGAACACTAGTAAACTCTGTGAAGACAGGGTTTGTGTCTGCTTTTTGTAAGCCTCACAGTGCTTCTGCAAACGGTAACCCCTTGATAAATACTTATTAATTAACTGATTGAGAATGTGGCATTTTTCTTTCACTGTGACATGTCCTCAAGTCTCCTTACTCTGTAGTTATCAAATAGGAGAGCTCCCTTTCTGGTAACTTGGAGAAAAATCATGACATAAGCCAATATGGAAACTGCTCAATCAATGAAATGTTGTGCAAGAGCCTCTTTTTGCAACTCAGAACTGAAGCTGACTCTTCGTATTTTCTTTCTGAGGAAGAAAGAGAGGCAGCCAGGGCTGCTGGCAATGGCTGAGTTCCGCAATGCTTCCTCTGGATGAGCATGCTCAGCCCAGCAGGGTCCAGAGCCTCTCTCTCCACCCTGCTCACAAAGAAGCACAGATGTCAGTCACAGAGGGCCAAAGGCTCCCCTCTCCCCAGGAAAGGCAATGTCGCTGTAGAACTTTCCTGGGAGTATAGGTGTCCAGGCAGATTTCAAGGAGAGCTGAAGGAAGCTGAAGGGTGGAATGAAGCCCAAACTTACGGTATCCTGAAGAATATGATTTATTCATCATATCATGTGATCCCTATTCAATCAACATTTGATGATTTGTATGGTTATCCACTGTAAAATCTTTTTTAAACTGGCCATCCTTGTGTATCTAGCATTCACTTGGGACATTTTCTGCTGATATTAACTGGTTTGTGTTCAAGCAATAAAAACTAAAATTAGTATCTGCCTAAAGAACATATAATCAGAGAGATAAATAGGCTGGAAAAAAATCCTATGGTAAAACTTTTTTTAATTACAATTCATGTTGATCCATGCCACTGTTTCCTATTATTAGCACAGTTATCTCATAAAGGTAAGGCTTTATCCACACACATATAGATTCGGCAGGTGTCTATATTTGTATGCAGGTGACATCTCCTTACTGGTATAAAGAAAAGTTTGCTAAGAAATATAATTATTCATCCAGAGAAAAGTATGTCTGCATATCAGGAATAAAATGACAATATATAGGAGAAATACCTAATCTGCATTGAATAGCCATAGAATGACGTCTCTAGGAAATTATGATTTTAAAGACCAAGATGGCATGTGCTGCTTCTTGACAATTTCTTCCTGGCTTTATTTGTTTGACACTGCTCCCAAGGGGGTTGCTGAAGCCCAACAGAAGGCATTATGGTCCAGGAGACAGAGGAATCTGGATCAAGAAGCACAGAGACCACATTGCAGTTACACATCCCCTGGGTTACATGTCCCTTTCATGCTGCCCCGGAGGAGAGTTTTATTCGTGCCTGCTCGAGAAGGGCAGTGTTTAGTTTGGGTGTTGCAGAGTGCATGGTAAAAATGGAGAAGGCGAGGACAGAGCCTGTGCTTCATGCGTTGATCACAAATAAAGCATTTATAAATCATGAGCTGTTATGGCCCATGAGCAGCCGTTGTGAGGAGTCACCTAACTTTAAGTTTCTTTCAGTTTCTGCTCTATTTGCTCTCCTTTTTATAATAAAATTAGTAAAAATCCTAAGAAAGAAATTTAAATCTTTTCCTCTCATTCTCTTTTTGCCATAAAAATAGGAGTTATATGATAATATGCTCAAGTATTTTATTTGACCTAATTTCACAAGGTAAAATGACAACATAGAATCCACACACACCTCCCTCCCCATCCTTTTGGATAGATACAAGTAACACTTCACCAAAGGT